AGTGTAAAAATCCCCCGTCTCCTCCTTGCAGACTAAGCCCATAGCTTGAACTTCCAGAAATCAATTTACATTTTTAAATTCCTTTATGAGTCCTTGGTATTTGACAGCGTTCTCTTTGCTCACAGGGATCTGACAGGCTTTGTTCCAAGATATTTTCAATATTTAGAACATCGAAGAGATATTTAAAATATCAATTATCTTGTTTGGGTAAGTAGCCATTAAACATGCAGAGTAACTTGCTTGAACTGCAAGTCTGCAGGCTAAAAGCGCCTCGCATTTTATATGACATTCTTCATCCGTGCTTTTCAAATCATTTTATAAGTACTAATGAATAAAGTTTATTAACAATCCAGCAAAGGAGACAAGAACTGTTATCCTCTTTCCATGGCATGGAAATTGGGAGATATTTGTGTGTAATCTTGTTTGTGCTCGCTAGATGCCAAATGAACTCAAGTTCCTTTGCACCTCTCCAGCACTATAAAAATTCATTAAAATCATTCAATACATGCTTTAAACTCTGCCAGGATGAGGCCCTCATTAAATGAGAATGAGATCCAACATCAGGTTCGGGCATCATTTTAACAGCCAGTCTGTGGTCCCATTAATAGCATGAGCATTGACCTCAGGCCCAGATTCCATCAGATTTGGGAACAACAGAAAAAAGGACACAATTTTGACTTAAAAACCTTTGTTGGGAATTTTTAATTTAGTGATTTTTCAAACTTTTATTTTGTGGATTTTGGGTGCACTCAAACTGCGTTTTTTTTTTTTCCTAATCTGATCTAAGTAATCAAGGGCTTGCAGTATTACAAAATTTTTAAGACTGAAAAAAACCCCAACTATCTCAGGACCATTCTTAGCATCTTTAACTGAAATGCTGCGGTCCAGCATCTGCAAACATCTGCATGTGATCAAGGTGATGCACTTACTGAATCAAGGCAATGTGAGGGGAGAGGACCTGCCCTTCTTCCCTGTGGCATATGAATTTACCCTGCCCCAGGTAATTTCATACCCAAAGTCCAAACTGACAGATTGAGTCAGAGTTTGAAGCGATTATCCAACTTTAGAATGTTCATCATAGTGATGTCTTTCCTTGCTCAGAAGCACACGTATTTCTGTTGCTAATTGTAGCCCCAATTATTCTCTCTCATCCCATAGGGGAATAAACCAGCAAAGCACTTGACCTACTAGTATGTACACCCGGGAGGACCTTTCCCACACAGGGTCTCCTCTAGTTTGGGATTTGGAGGGGACACTCAGGTCCCCACAGATGTTAGCTGCTCCCCAGGGGTGTCTCCTTGCAGTGCTCCAGCCGAGGGAGTTTCATTCCTCACGTCAGGAGGTGCAGGATTTGTCCCATGTGAAGGACAACTGTCACTTTATTAAATAGTGACATCAGTGATCGTCTGCCTGGCAATAGCTGTGCCTCGGTTCACAGCTCTGCACTCAGAAACCAGAGCATCTCCTGACTGGGGAGGCCACTTTTTATAACCTCATCCCACACAGTTTTGCAGGCAGTAATACATCCCAGTGAGACTATTAGACAAATAGGGTCTTAAAATCTTATCTCAGATCTTGCTCAAACATGAGATTTTTCTAATCATAAATGCTAAAAATACCACTCACATGTAAGAGTGATAACTGCAAGCAGGATTCAGGCTTGCCTGAAATTGCTGCAGTCCAGGCAGTTCATAGTTAATACATAACTCTCTTGACAAACAGCTCAGATGACAACATACCTATAATTATAGTTATATCTGATCATGTCACTGGGGGAGAAAGGAAGGTGATTCTGCAAACGCAGAGGGGCTGCATCCTCCTCTCTATCTCCCAGCCACTACTCCAGACTCCCTTGGACCTCTGCAGGAATTATTGTTGGCTAGTCAGTGCTGGGAAGGGATGCTGTGCACTCACCTGGGACTCCCTAATTTTGGGAGCTGTGTGGTACCCACTTAGAGTGATGCTGGCAAATTAGAGCAGCCTAAAAAGGCAGGCAGGTAATAGAAGCAGGGTAGGCTTGAGCTCGTGGCTTCTGTCCCTGCGAGGTTTGCAGGGCCAGCAGATGGGAAGCCAAGCGCTGACACCGTCATCACTGCTGGCATGGTGTCACTTGTGTGCCAGCTCCCAGGGTGGGGACTGGCTACCATGCCTGGGCAAGGGACAGAAAGGCCAACATGTGACAAAGGGGAGAGAGGAGAGGCTGCAGGGCTGGGGAAGCAGAGGGATTTGTGTCCTCTATCCTCAGGGATCATCCTGCCAAGAGCCACCTTCCTGTGGAGTTCCACATCAGCATCAGCATCAGCCTGAGCCACCTCTTGGCTCGCCAGCAGAGGTAATGCCCTCTGTACCCAGTCTTCAGCTTGCACCTTATGTGCATCCTAAATATGAGAAAACCTTGACACATCTGACTCAGCTGGGCAAGTTTCTGCCTGTTCTTTTTTTTCCCCCAGGATGAGCACTTATCCCATCAAACAAAACCCCACTGCATGCCCACTTTTCCAGAATGATCCCTGTTTCCTGCACAGAGTGAGCACTGGTACCCTCCATTTGCACTGCTAGCAGAGTCCTTCTCCTTGAATTTGCTCTAAATACTCGCTAGGCTCCCAGGACTAATATTTCCAGGATGAATATTCTTATGTGATATTGCAGCCTTCTTCTTTTGGCTGAGACAGCAATGTTCCCTAGTGTGTAAATTTTCCTGTTTTTTCCCTATGCATAAACCTTAAACTCTATCAATAACTAATTGTTTCATGTGTCTCAGACAAAGTGTAATCAACAGAGAGAGTGGTGAGGAAGTGTGAAATGACAGAGTGACATTCTATGCTTAAATAAGCAAACTACACCCAAATCAAACAATGGCTCGAAAACGTTTCCCTAATAAGGGTGCATAAATTACCTCCATTACTTGGAAAGCTCGTACTTGCATCTTACCAGCCACATTTGTAGTATTCACAAAAGCTGATACACTCCAATCATGATAGACATGCCTCTGTTACAGTAATTATAAAATGCTTTGTGAAAATATCATTTTGCCTACAGAGCTACTGAAGTTGTACTGTCTCTTTGGTGTTTGTTTATTGCCTCCGTGAATTTAAAAAACATCATTATAAAGGGCAAGAAGAAATAAATTTGAAAGGAGATAGAACACTTTTGATATTTATTCTCTGTGAGGGAAAAAAGAAAATGTATCTCAGATTGTGCCAATATGTGATATTCACCATCTAGATAATGTAAAAGAGGTGTGATTCCTTGAAAAAAAAATGGGCAATAATTCCAGATTGAATGGAAACATTTTAAGAAGATACACTGATGGCTTCTGGTGCAAGATCTCAATCACAGGTGTATATGTCCATAGATACAAGAAGGGTCTGGGAGAAAGGAGACTTTGTGTGAGAGGGAAAGCCACCCAAGGCTGGGTGCTGCAGGTGGTGCTGCTCCTGGCTCCACACAACCCCTCTGGATCCTATGGATGCAAGAAAATCACTCTTCTCTGTTGCTTTCTTCTCAGTTTATTTTATTATTTTATTTTATTTTATTTTATTTTATTTTTGGCATCCTACATCTTGAAAAATACCAACTTTTATCTTTTTCTTTATAGGAAAATCCTGTACAGTTTAACCAAAAACAGAGCCCTTACAACTATTTATTCAGTCTATATATCTCATCATTTTATGTATTTTTTTTCCCCCTCAAATATTTTGTTCTAGTTGAATATGGCTAATGATGTAAAGCTATAAGTAGTCAAAATTCTTTAAGGGAAACCTGGAAAATAATTATACTAATAAATGAAAAAGAATACACAGTAATAAAAGAGAGATTATTTGCTTTAATTTTGTGGCTGCATTTATCATTACACCAAGGCAATATTAAATATCTGACCTGAACATGATTTTGGTCCTTATTACAATTGCTGGATTCCTTAAAAAGACCATGTTAACTTTATTTTAATAGTGTAGAATCTTGGAGTATAAGTATTTCCAAAATTAAAATCAGTCAACATAAGTAAGAACCTTGAACAAATCTGAAATGCCTTAAAGGATTGTTCTGAATTGATTTTAACACACAGAGTAAGAGGAAAATGTACCTGTATACTGCTACTATTATTATAAAAATGTATGTGGAAGATGTTTGGAGAGAAATTGTCCACAAGCAGTGAGGTGCAAAGTGTGAAATATTAGATATACTCTTTAAAAAAATAAAAATTGCCTGGTTTTAACAAGGCAAGAGGGTATGAATGCATGAACAGCATCAGCTGTATTTCAAATTAGCCATAGCAAGCCCTTCCACATACCTGGAGAACCTGATCCAAATGCTAAGATTTTGTATGTTAATTTATACTGCAGAGTTCTTAACATCTGACATCGGCTGTAACATTACAAGTTGTGCTATGACTTTATTAAGGGATGATTTCCAAAGCCCTAAAGAATACTTATTATGTTGTAATATATATTTCTGAAGAGGATTAGGTCTTTGATGCTAAAACCTAGACGTTTTAAAAGCGAGTTTACTGAAATGAAAAAGATTACATACGTTCCTTTGTGTTGCACCAGGTAGAGCTTTTCCACCTTCATTTCAACTTCGTTTCACAAACCTCAGTGGTATCACAACCGAGAAATGCATTTAAAATCCCTCAGAGTTTCATTACTGAAATGGGATATTCTAGAAAAGGACCTGGGGCTTGTGCTGAACCACAAACTGAATAGGTAACAATGGGGAAAAAATGGGAAAAATACAAAAAGCCCAGGATACACCCTTTCCTGCAATGTGTTAATGTTAATATCAGACTGAGTAGCAGCTGGATTTCGAGGGCTGTGTCTGATTTTGGATGCCAGTCTTTTAAAAGGATTGAAAAAGTTGAACGAAGAGCAAGAATAATGAAAAAGTTTAGAAAACTTGACCTGTGAGAAAAGACTGATGAAACTGGGTTTGTTTAATTTAGGAAAGAGAGGACGGGTGATGGTTTTCCAGGATGTAAAAGGTTGTTGCAGAGAAAAACACCATCAGTTGTTCTCCAGATCCACTGGGGGTAGAACGAGAAATAATCAGCTTAATTTGCAGAAAAAAAAAAAAATGTAGGTTAGATATTAGCTAAAATGTCAAACTATAAAGAGAGTTAAGCACTGGGAGAGGTTACCTGGGAGTACTGTAAAAAATCTGGCACTGGAGGTTTTTGAGGCTGGGTCAGAGGAGCAGTGGGGGATGCTCCAGGGGCAGGACCTGCCTCAGGCATGGGGCACAACAGGTCCATGTCCTTCAGGGTGCACCCAGCACTGCAGCACTGCATGCTTGGCACCAAGAAACAGAAACATTTGACTTCATTGCAGAAATGTCTGGTCAGGTTGGGGTTTTCAGACCAAGGGCATATTGCAATTTTGTTTAAAATAACCCATTTTTCTCTTTCAAACATCAGGAAAAACACTTTCCTTTTGTCATTTTCCCTTCAATTTGTTGGCATTTCAGAGCTCAGGTCAGTCCTTATTTTAATATGTATATTTATGTATACATATATATACAATTCTAACTTTTAAATAAAAAAACTGAATTGTTACCTTCCGCAAAAGCAGAATGCTTCTTTTTTTTTCCCTCCCTGTAACCCTTGCCAGTCTCATCTCCAACACATGTTCCCCAGAGCCCAGCAGCCAAATCAAACTTGCCTTTCCCTGTGGGATGGCTCATAAATCTCTTGGTCCTCAGCACTGAAGTCTACTGTATCCCCAAGGTCACTTAATGAGGAGATATTGGATATTGGTCAATACTGCTTTTCTCCTGCAGGGAAAAGGCAACTTTTTCTTATTATGGTAATATTTATTTGCTCAGAAGAGAACTTTTTCAGACACCCATTTGAAACAGTGCCATGAATTAGAGTCCTTTACAAGATCCAAAGCACTGAAAACTCCACCACACCAGGGGTTTTGCAGCAAAAAGGAATGAAATATTGCTTTTTCTATGGAATGGCATGGGAAGGGAAGGGAAGGGAAGGGAAGGGAAGGGAAGGGAAGGGAAGGGAAGGAAGAAAGGTTTTTCTTTTTGACAATTTGTAAACAAATGTAAATCACACATGGACAATTGAAGCATTTATTAATGTACACCACAAAGGCATTCAGCACCAGATATCAATAAGAGACAATAAGAAATCTAGAATGAGACTTACACATTTAGCCTGACCCTACAGACAGTATCTGCCATGCTGGACACGTAGATATGGCACTTGGTTTCATGGTTTAGTGGTGGACTCGGTGGTACTGGGGTTGGGCTCAATGATTTCAGAAGTTTCTTCCAAGCTAAATCAATCTATGATTCTATTTTTCTATGGGTGGTTGCAATGAGCACCAGTTTTTGGTGCAGGAGTGCAAAGCCTCAGTGGGAGGGATCCTCATGAGATCATAGCCAATGGCTTAGGACAGGAGATCCCTGGGAGAAAGGATCCCACTGAATCTGTATTTTCTATTAAACTGGGTAAGATATAGAAAGTCAAGAAGAAGCTTCCTTAGCCAAGGACCAGGTTTGGTGGGACTCCTTTTGGGGGATGCAGCTGCTGGTTGCAGATCCATCAGTGCAGGCTCAGCCTCTGGCCCTGTATTGTCACCAGTTTTCCTGGTACATGGACAAATGTATTTGTCTTTATCAGGGCTGCTGGAAACCTGTACAAATTTAAATGTGTTTTAGATTTATGAGATGAAAAAAAAGGAGGGTGATGGGAATGGAGCACATTTGCACAGTATCTCAACTTGAGAAGTGTGTAAATCTGTACTCTTTTCATCCAGCTCTGTTCTCTTCTCCAAGAAAAATCCCCAGTGAAATACTATTCAGAAAAAGAGTCACTTTCAAACATGGGAAATGACAGTGCTTTTAAAGCAACATCTACATGCCCCAAATCCAGGGAAACCTTAAAGACACAGCATGAATCTGTGCTCAAGCACTGATGTCATGATACTTTCAGACATGGAATAAAACTGTATGTGATGGAAAAAGCTGCTTTGCCAAGCTCTGTGTGCCAAATAGACCCCGACTGTATCCTGGGTATGAAACCAAACACTTCTCTTGCACAGTAAAAAAGAACATAGATCTGCAAGAACTGAAACAAACACCCACAGGTGCTACTGGAAGTAGGGGAGCTGAGTTTAAGTGAGGTGTTACCACCTCACAGCCAGGGCACCTCAGGGCCCTCAACACTGTCAGGTCCCTCACCAGCACAGGGGAGCTTGTGTCTGTTTACAGGATATTTGCCCACTTCTCCTACCTTTAAATTGTGTGTTTCACCATTTCTGTTGACAAGTTTCATCAAATGATGATTTAGGATATTAGAAAGGTTTTAGAAAGAAACATTCCTGTTTGCCCCAATAGCAGAAAATCCCTGTTCAGAACTGAACCCCATCACTTTGTCTTATTGGTCCCTGATGTTGCCAATACTTGCAAAATTTCTGTAAGATGTTCTCTCACTGTAACAAAGAGCTCTTATCACGACCCTTTCTTACTTAGTATTTCTGCCCAACAAAGTCTTTATCCTATAGAAAGATAGTTAAAATAGGCTCCTCTTACTCTCTGCAAACCTTTGTATCAGCTCCCAAAGACTCTTCCATTTACCTGGGCTCCTTGGCCTGGCTCCTCTTCCTGTTCTCCACCTTCTGTGAAGCAGCCTTTCCCCTCTTTCTCCCACCTTGGCAAATACACTTGCATATACCACTGGGGGGGAAAATAAAGAAAATTAAGAAGAAAAATCCAGGAAAATTCAAACAGGCACAAGAACACCACTTTCCAGATTTTCATATGTGTTGGTACTAGAACTGCAAAGGTTCTCTTTTCCCTTCCCTCTACCCTCAGCCTTTCTTCTCTGAGCACCCCTCTATTCTGCTGTTTGCATCGTGCCTCTCCCATTTCCATTCTCATTTCCATCTTTTTCTTTGACTTGCTGTTACCCAGGAGCTTCCACCCATCTCTCCATGGTAGCTCACAGGCTGATCACACACACAGGGAAAGGTTTGGCTGTGCCCAGCCCTTGTCTCTTCTTCCCTGGGCTGGAGGTAGAGCAGGTGCTGTACTCAAAAGGTGTCCACCATGCCATGACCTGGGTTTCAACCTCCCTCCCCTGGGGTATTTATTGATTTTAGCACCCCAAAACTGGGGCATCAGAGGAGAAAGGGACATAACCTCAGCTCAAATATTTGATTTTTTCTTCTTTCCTCGCTCTTCTGTTCCTGTCTTTCCATACACACCTCAAATGGGTCTGGCAGCCACGAATTGCTGCAGCCACTTTGCTGCATGCCTACTCCTTCACCAGATGCTGATGCTGAGGGCCACAAACACACCCAATTCGGTGCTGAAACAAGGGAGAAATGGTGAAAGACAGACTCAGCTTTGCCATCACACACCCCAGCTTGTGGGGATAAGCACCTTTTAGTGTGAGCGCTGCGTCTGTATTATTCTGCCATTTCATAACTCAATCCTGCCAGCCTCTGAACTATTTTTATTGCTCTCCTCTGAATAATTTTCAATCTGTCACTATCTTTCAGGTAATATGGTGCCCATAATTAAATACTGCAGGCGCTACCGCGCCAGAGCCATATGCAGACGGACTATTACCTCCTTGTGCTGTGATGTCTTCAGCCCCAAATCAAATTGGTCTTTTTTTGCTGCCATATCTCAAGGCAAACTCATGTCTAATTTACTCCACACTATCATCTCTAGATCTCTCACAGCATTACGGCTTCTCGGGTTTTTATCGCTGATTGAATAGCTGGGGTTTCGATTATTTTTCCACAAAAGTCGTAACTCCTATTTTCTGTGTTGAATCTCATTTTATTCTCCACTCATTTTCCCTGCCTTTTCAGATTCCTTTACATTATTTTTGCTTTCATATTTGGGATTTTCCAATCCACCCAGGTTAGTTCAGTTTGCATATTACATCCACAAAACACTCATCCCTTCTTTTAGATCAGTGAAAGAGTTGGTAAGCAAGCTCCCCATTCAGAGAATCTTTTCAGCATGTGCTTGTAACCTTTAGGAGCAAACATGCTCAGGTATGGGATGAAGCACCTGCTGGAAGACATGAGTTTGGTAATGGGGACAGCACCATCCATACATGATGTGCAGCAGGATGCTGCAGAGGGACATGGGGTGACATGGGGCAAAGGATGCAGCCATGGGTGGAGCAAACCCATCACAGGCTGCCAGATGCATCCACACATCCTCACCTGTGTGGTCAGGGCCTGCATTAGGGTTCTGCCCTGTTGAGGTGCCAGCAGAGGCTGCCCCAGATCAGCTCGTGGCCCTTCCCCTCCTCTGTCTGCTGAGAGACGTTCAAAGCCACGTCAATCTGAATTAATGTTGGGAGTGAGACGCTGGGTGACAGCAGCGACTGTTTTATTAAAATCCAAGGACCCAACTGAGCACTCCTGAACTGTGCTCACATGAATAATCCCACATATTTTGAGCATCAGACCTGAATTCACAAATTTTCTATTTCTATAAAAAGGAACTCAGTGTTTGGTGGTCAAAATTTGCTTTATGTAAGTCTATTCTGTTTCTTTTCTCTGTTAACCTCTAAGTTCCCAATCCCATCAAAGTCAATGGAAAGATGTACTTTGAATCCCAGCATCTGCAGATCTGGCTGCAAGAATTTATACACCTGGAGAAAAATATCTGGAATATCAACAGTGAAATAAAATAATTCCCAACATCCAAAATACATTATTTAGGTAATCTGATCTAAAGTAAAAAAGCATTTATTTCTGAAAAACTCCACTCAGAAAGGATGCTGATTATTTGGAAACAAAGCCTCATTATTTGGTGATATTGACCACATAGGGAGGTGCTTCAGACTAGCTATTTCTTAGTCTCTTTTTAAAAATTTTTTACAGGGATGCAGGGTGGTGGGTGGTGACAGAGTGGCTTATTTTGGCCAAATTCCCTACACAGACAAGCTCAAACTGATGTTTGTTTTATAATGTCTTTTCCTTTACTTGAATCAGTACAGTAGATCTATTATCTTTTCTAGAAAAACAGGACCATCTTTCTTCTGGCATCATAATATTTTCTCATCATTTTCCTATGGCTCTTCAGCTTTTCATTAAGAAAAGCAAATAAAGTGGCAGCGCTTTAGGAAATTTGTTAAATCCTTTAGTGGTGAAGAAATACAGGTTAGGCAGTTTATATATATGACCACATTTTGTAGAACCAGACTGAATTGCCTTTTTCATTCTGCTTGTCCTAAAGAAATTCCATTGCAGATCCTGTAGATATTTGGGTAAACAGGCTGTTGCAGGATTGCTTCAGAAAAGCCAGTTTTAAGTAATAATTAAGAATATTTGGGGGGAAAAAAAGTGGTGATGTGATGCTGGAGAAGGCTGGCTGATGGGAAGCTGGTTCCTGATGGGGAGGCTTCTACCCCCTGGCTCAGGGAAGACAAACACAGACTCTGACCTCTCCATCCACCCAGATGAACCCACCTGGCCTCGGGTTGGAGGAGCAAATGCTCACAGTGAACAACTTGGCATCAACATGCACCTCACAAATAATTTTCATAAAACATCATGCAAGGCTATCTAATAACTGGCATCTCAGAAAGCTGTAATACCCTGCCAGACAGCCCATGACCAAAAAGCAGGAGAAAATTGAGCAGGTAATTTGCTATATGTTTTCCCACTGTTTTTACCTTTGCGTGCTGATTTATTTTACTAAGTTTTCAGACCTTCCTGCAAAAATTGTGTCAATTAATTTTATTCTTGTTAAGAATATTTTTTTTCAAAAGTTCATCAGTCCAGCAATTTCTTTGATACACCCTTAATTTAATCCCCTTCTAATTAATAAATCGGCTTGCTGTTTCTCTAGAATGCCTTTTTGTTTTGATATACATTTTAACACTTTTAAAGTTCTTTGGTTAGCTTTAAATTCTTCCCTCCCTTATCCTTATTATTTCCCCTATAATCCCTAACTGAATTTGAGTATGTTGTTTGATTCCTTCTTCTGCCCCCTCTTGCTTTCTAATTTTGACTACAGCTTTTTTCTTTTTTTTTCCCCCTTTTTTTAATTAAAAAAAATTAAAGCCTCAGATCTTTGCACAGTCCCTTATGAAGCCACATTGGCCGCTACTTGCTCTCTCTGCTCTTCATTTTGAGAGGAGCAGGAGTCTCTTGCATCTTAATTATGGTTTCTTGCAGGAGTCCCCCTGCTTCTCCTCGTGCTGGTGGCTGTACAGTATTCCTCCTCCTCCTCCTCTTTTCCCTCCTCCTCCTCCTCCTTCTCCTCTGCAGACTTTTGTTAAATACAATATGCACCGTGCATGCCAGCCTTTTAGATCTACCAGATTTCTCCCTCATTGCTATATAAAAATACCTGCCTAAAGATTTACACCCAGGCAGGGTTTTTCCTGTTCTTTGCCTTCTCTCTGGAATTGAATCCACTTCCAGAAGGACCAGAGGATGTTGCTCCTTTTGTCAGCTTCTGCATCCATTTTTTAAAAATGTTTTCCAGCAGTTGCAGCTTCAAGATCACAACTGGTCCATAGTCAATGTTTTGGCACATTTCATACATTTCACCTGAATGCAGCTGAAATGAGGGCCAGATTCTGTGCAGGGGTAAATCTCTGCAGCCTTTTACTCCCTCAGACCTGCTTTCTGCAAGAAGCAGATGTGGCTCAAAGTTCCTCAAGACACTTGGGAGAAATTTCAAAGCCCTTCTAATTTTCCTGATAATATTGACACTCCTGGGTGCTGGTTTCCTGGTAGCTTAATTTTTTTTATTCTATATATATAAACCTGCCAATGTTGATAGCTTGAGTTTCTGGAATCAACTCTCAGTCCTCATGAAGCTATTTTAATTAGAATGGGAGGGCTCTGTTAACTAAAAGTGGAAGAAATATTGATATGAGGATGCTCTGAAATGTGCTCAGCCTAGCGAGCATCTTGTAACTCTTTGTGAATGCTGAACCATAAGAGATTTCAGAGTTAGGAGTGGGTGACATTTTTCTCTCCTTTCTTTTTCTCTCCTTTTTTTTTCTTCTTTTTTTTTTTCCTCGTGTTTTTCCTTCCTTTCATTTCCTCCCCCCACTATTTTTCCCCCCATCATCTACTATTGCCAACCAAAGTCTTTTGTCCTCACATCTGTAAAACACCACATTCCCAGACACCCTTTTCACTGCACACACAGAAACCCAGAAGGTTTTCAGTATCTTCTGCCACGCCTGAGCCCACATTTGGTGCCTTACAGTCCTGTCCTGTTTGTTTACATCCACTTGGGTTCAGTTCCTCGCTGCTTCGCCTTCCCCTGCAGGGACGCTTTGCCTCTGCCTCTACAGAAAAATTTTGGCCAATTGGGTTGGGTTTTTTGCCATCTTCTGTCGGGGCTGGGCTTTGTTTCCCACAGTGAGTGTTGTTGTGCAGGCTGCCCCAGTATTGATTCCCAATCCTTCTGGACTCTTATTTTATTTCATTCAATGTTGGCACCATATGGCAGCTATGGCAACTGAATATATTCAGTTTATGGCAACTGAATATATTCAGTTTCTGACTCCATACTTGTCTGTTAAAGGGCTTCATGTTCTGGTCTGGAGTGAAAATAAGTAATTCCTATAGCACATAGTGGTAGAGAAGTTCAGATAACACTTCGCTGCCTTTAGAGTTCTTCTTTTCTGATACGACAAACCAGAACCAAAAAAAAATAGATATATTTTACAGGGTTTCAAATAG